AGACACGCGCTCGTTATTTCGCACGCGCGTCCTGTCATGAACGTCCAATTGTTAAGCCGGTCCAAACTGCTGCGGTAAATCCTTCCTTTCAGGTAAAACATGAATACTGATATCTACAGAAATGGTTGAATCTGGTCATGTAATTTCCGCTTACTTCGTGCTGTCTCGCGTCATTTTAAATTCGCGTCGCGAAGAAACGAAAAATCCCGGCGCGGCAACTGATGGGCAATCTGTCCTTAGTCGGGAGTTGAACCGAGCGTGCGAGCTCCGTGCTCCTCAGATCCGCACATCCAGCTGCGGCGCGGTGTCTCTGACGAGGACGAGGAGGAGGCGAGGTGGGGTCTTGCCGACAGAGAGCGAGTGAGAGAGACTCCGGGGGGCCTCACCCATGCGGGTTCCATCCGCGGAAACAAAACACTCAACGGGTGGAACTCAACCTCGTGGCTCCTCCGCGTTGCTCTGGCTCGTCAGAGGATTAGGGTCGAGCACGGGGCCCACGAGTGAAGCAATTCCCGGTTTGAATTATTGGTCTCTCGGCGCTAAAGCTGCTGGCGACAGTGCGAAGAGACCCCGAGACACTGAGACCCCGAGACACTGAGACCCCGAAACACTGAGACCCCGAGACACGGAGACCCCGAGACACTGAGACCCCGAGACACGGAGACCCTGAGACACTGAGACCCCGAGACACTGAGACCCCGAGACACGGAGACCCCGAGACACTGAGACCCCGAGACACTGAGACCCCGAGACACTGAGACCCCGAGACACTGCGACCCCGAGACACTGAGACCCCGAGACACTGAGACACTGAGACCCCGAGACACTGAGACCCCGAGACGCTGAGACCCTGAGACACTGAGACCCTGAGACACTGAGACCCCGAGACACTGAGACCCCGAGACACTGAGACCCCGAGACGCTGAGACCCCGAGTCACTGAGACCCCGAGACGCTGAGACCCCGAGGCGCTGAGACCCCGAGACACTGAGACACTGAGACACTGAGACCCCGAGACACTGAGACCCCGAGACGCTGAGACCACGAGACGCTGAGACCCCGAGACACTGAGACACTGAGACACTGAGACACTGAGACCCCGAGACACTGAGACCCTGAGACGCTGAGACACTGAGACACTGAGACCCCGAGACACGGAGACCCCGAGACACTGAGACCCCGAGACACTGAGACCCCGAGACACTGAGACCCCGAGACACTGAGACCCCGAGACACTGAGACCCCGAGACACTGAGACACTGAGACACTGAGACCCCGAGACGCTGAGACACGGAGACCCCGAGACGCTGAGACACTGAGACCCCGAGACACTGAGACCCCGAGACACTGAGACACTGAGACCCCGAGACGCTGAGACACTGAGACACTGAGACCCCGAGACGCTGAGACACGGAGACCCCGAGACACTGAGATACTGAGACCCCGAGACACTGAGACCCCGAGACACTGAGACACTGAGACCCCGAGACACTGAGACCCCGAGACACTGAGACACTGAGACCCCGAGACACTGAGACACTGAGACCCTGAGACACTGAGACCCTGAGACACTGAGACCCTGAGACACTGAGACCCCGAGACACGGAGACACTGAGACACTGAGACCCCGAGACACGGAGACCCCGAGACACTGAGACCCCGAGACACTGAGACCCCGAGACACTGAGACCCCGAGACACTGAGACACTGAGACACTGAGACCCCGAGACACTGAGACCCCGAGACGCTGAGACCCTGAGACACTGAGACCCTGAGACACTGAGACCCCGAGACACTGAGACCCCGAGACACTGAGACCCCGAGACACTGAGACCCCGAGACACTGAGACGCTGAGACCCCGAGACCCCGAGACGCTGAGACCCTGAGACACTGAGACCCTGAGACACTGAGACCCTGAGACACTGAGACCCCGAGACACTGAGACCCCGAGACACTGAGACCCCGAGACGCTGAGACCCCGAGACACTGAGACCCCGAGACACTGAGACCCCGAGACGCTGAGACCCCGAGACACTGAGACCCTGAGACACGGAGACACTGAGACACTGAGACCCCGAGACACTGAGACCCCGAGACGCTGAGACCCCGAGACACTGAGACCCTGAGACACGGAGACACTTAGACACTGAGACCCCGAGACACTGAGACCCCGAGACACTGAGACCCCGAGACACTGAGACCCCGAGACACTGAGACCCCGAGACACGGAGACACTGAGACACTGAGACCCCGAGACACTGAGACCCTGAGACACTGAGACCCCGAGACACTGAGACCCCGAGATGCTGAGACACTGAGACACTGAGACCCCGAGACACTGAGACACTGAGACACTGAGACCCCGAGACACTGAGACCCTGAGACACTGAGACCCCGCTACACTGAGACCCCGAGACACTGAGACACTGAGACACTGAGACGCCGAGACACTGAGACCCCGAGACACTGAGACCCTGAGACACTGAGACACTGAAACCCCGAGACACTGAGACGCTGAGACCCCGAGACCCCGAGACGCTGAGACCCTGAGACACTGAGACCCTGAGACACTGAGACACTGAGACCCCGAGACACGGAGACACTGAGACACTGAGACCCCGAGACACGGAGACACTGAGACCCGAGACACGGAGACCCCGAGACACGGAGACCCCGAGACACGGAGACCCCCGTCACCCCCCCCTTCACCCCCCCCCCCCCTCCATCATTCAAATATTCATGGCTAGGGTAGAGATTACCTGCACGCGGCTGTCTCGTTCAGATGTCGAGTGGAGCAATTAATGGGCTTATCATTAAAATTACGAATCGTGTAGCACGCGGCCAACAGCAATTCCCCACACACGGATTGAACAACATCATCAGCCGCGATCAAACCACTCCGTAACATTCAAATACACGGAGAGCAGCGATACACCACTCATGGGCTTGTCGCCGTCATCAATCAACATCATCATCATCACACCACTGTTCTTGTCATTGCAATATTCATGGTATGACAATTCGCTACGCGAGGGGTTATTCAAACATTCATCGAGAGGGAACGCACTTCTCGTACATGCCGTGTTCACACAGATCCCCCGTGGGTGGATGGCCAGCACCACGCCCGGCCGCCTTTGTCTCCCGAGTGGCGATGTTTTCACATCGCACCAGGTACCTCGTTTGAGGTTGAGTCGACCTAGGGGAGGCCCAGACCCGGTTGACGTGATCGTAACCGGTGTTGCCCGTGAATAAGAATCGAACTCGGGTCGTCGGGTTCGTAGCGCAGCGCTGCACACACGCCCCGCACACACGCCCTGCACACACACGCCCTGCACACACACCCCGCACACACGCCCTGCACACACACACGCCCTGCACCCACGCCCTGCACACACCCTGCACACACACACTGCACACACCCTGCACACACGCCCTGCACACACACACGCCCTGCACCCACGCCCTGCACACACCCTGCACACACACACTGCACACACCCTGCACACACGCCCTGCACACACGCCCTGCACACACGCCCTGCACAAACACGCCCTGCACACACACGCTGCAAACACACCCTGCACACACACGCTGGACCCACGCCGTGCACACACACGCTGCACACACGCCCTGCACACACGCCCTGCACACACACGCTGGACCCACGCCCTGCACACACGCCCTGCACTCACACACCCTGCACACACGCCCTGCACACACGCCCTGCACACACGCCCTGCACTCACACACCCTGCACACACGCCCTGCACACACGCCCTGCACACACGCCCTGCACTCACACACCCTGCACACACGCCCTGCACACACGCCCTGCACACACACCCTGCACACACGCCCTGCACACACGCCCTGCACTCACACACCCTGCACACACGCCCTGCACACACGCCCTGCACTCACACACCCTGCACACACGCCCTGCACACACGCCCTGCACACACACGCTGCACACACGCCCCGCACACACGCACTGCACAAACGCACGCTGCAATATCCGCCGCCGAGCTGTGGAGATTGACTGAGCGCGAGTGGATGAGGCGTCGTGTAAATCCGTGAGCCGCACGCGGGGTCCGTGAGCCGGGAGGTTCGCTCGTGGCTCGATGGGCGGCGGCGTCTCCGTGGGCTGTGAGCCATGGGCGCGGAGCAGCCCCAGAGAGCGCGCTCCGAGCACGTGCAGCGAGAGACGACGATGATGATGATGATGACGATGATCATGATGACGATGATGGTGATAACGAGGTCGATGACAGTTGACCCGAGAAGTTTGATGATTTGTCACGATTCCTGATCTCGACTCTTTTAGCGTCTCGTTTGTGTTTGTTTCGGTGAGTTTGTTTACGTCTCTCGGTTCACGTTGTTCCGTTTATCGGAATTAGCAACAAACGCAACAATAATCTATTTTCACGCTCACCCATTCGGCGCATGATGTGAGCATATCGATATATCCCTATCGATGAATACATCGTTACAATTATGATGAATGGCACAGGGATACGATGACGCGGTAAGATCAATCTCCCCTATCCGTCCGGATTCCCCTTCCTTGGGCCGTCGGTGCTGCCGACTCCCTGCCCCTTATTCTAATTTGGTCTCCCACCCCACCCCACTCTGCGTGACTGCCTCGCTCTATAAATACGCCCTCCGTTTATTGTACAGCATCTTGAGATGCGGTCGCATTAAGGGGTCGTAAAATCCGCATTCTATTGCGCATATCCAAGGATTACGACGACGCCGCTTGCGGTGATTTCCACACGACCCTGGGGAGCGCGAGACGGATCGTCCCCCACCGGGGTCGAGCCTGGGTTTAGGGTGGGGGGGGCGGGCAAGGTTGACCTTGAGGGGCTCCAATAAATACAGCAATTGGCCCCTGGGATACTCCTGCTGCCCGCACCCCCAGCCCCTCCCCCTGCACCCATCCCCGCTCCCTCATCCCCTCGCTCGTTCTCTCCCTCTCTCATTCTCCCTCCCTCTCTTTTTTTTTCAACAATTTACTAAAACCAAATACAGCCACATCCTTCATGTTGAGACCTCACAATTTTTCAAATGTGGTCGGTAGCACTGATTTGGAATGTAAACTATATGTAGGTAATGGCCAAAATGTTGACTTAAGGTTATAAAGAGATATTGTTATTAAGCAACTGCTCACCATCATTCAAACCACACAGGCATTGCGCTGCTTGAGCTTAATACACTGGAAGTGTATAATACTCAGAATCGGCTAGTCGGAGTATTATATACTGAGTATTATAGTTTGTTGGCATTTATATGAATACACTTAGGCACCCGTTGCCTTTGGTAAAGGACAGCATTATTACTCGCCACAGTATTTGCTATTGTTATTAGTTTGTCATTTAAATTTTGTTTAATTTTAGGTTCAAAAGTTTTCCATTTTTACTTGGAGGGGGTTCTTCCAGGTACACAACCTTTTTAACTTAGAAGATTTTGTTCAGTGAAATTACAATACCATGAACAAAAGTCAAATGCTGTTGAATTAACCAAAGCGCATCAATCCTCCGCTTCCATCTCCTCTGCGTCGTCGTCACCGTCCACTTTCGCATTCTCCAGCTGCCGGGCGAGCTCCGTTTCATCAATGTCGGTCACCACCTTCGGCGCCATCTGAACCTTGAAGACACCACGTTTTTTCTCGATCTTGATGGTTGCCATCGCCTGATTGAGAAGGGGAAGGCCTTCTGTCCTCTCCAGGGTTGTGGTTGTCATCACGTAGCGTGGAGGTGCTATCAGGTTAATCTTGATCGGCATCTTCTCTGTGAAACATGCCTCTTTAACAGCATCAATCCCTTCATAGCCATAGCAGGCCACCTCAATATCTGCACGGATTTTGACGGCCTGTGGCGTCAGCCGCCTGTGGATGTTCTCCAGCAGGAATCCCTTCTCTTCCTCCGTCAAATCCAGCCCATCGAGCACACTGGGGTCTGAAACGGCGAGCTTGAAGGCATCGTAAGCACCGTATCCAGGCTTGTTGTATTTTTCATCAAAGACCAAGGCTGTCCGCTGATACAGACTCTCTCGCTCTCACGCACGCTGACTTCCTGTATATCATCTGCCGCTCGATACGGTAATCCCGCTAATGGGCGTGATGCATTACAGCGGCGTCGCAGGGAGGCGAGGCCCCGCTGACAGCTCGGAGTCCCGCGCCGCGCCGCGCGAAGACCCCGCGCCGCGCGTACCCCGTGCCCGGGGAGGCGCGGGGAGGGAGGAGGAGGAGGAGGCGATGGGGGAGAGGGACGGGGTGAGCAGTGGGTGATGGTCGGGCCGATCATCCATCGCCCCGGGAGTTGGCAGGGTTAATGCTCTGCTCATGGGAGTAGCTCGCGCGCGCGTGCGTGTGTGCGTGTGTCCACGCGCGCACGCACTGCCCACACGCACATTGGACACGTAAACTGCACACACACTGCGAACACACGCACTGTAACACGCACAGTCTACACGTACACACTGAACGCACACTGCATACACGCACACTGCACACACATACTGGACACACATATACTGCACTCACACGCACACACAATGTAAACACGCCCATACTGCACACACACTGCACACACACACACACATACTGCGCAGATACACTGCACTCACACTGCAAACACACAAGCAATGCACACACACATTACAAAGGCGCACACACACTGCACTCCGTACACACAGACACACAGTGTACACGCGCACACACACACCTACAAGGTCGCGCACACTGCAAACTCCCGCACAGTGCAAACTTCCGCGTACTGCAAACTCCTGCGCTCTACAAACTCCCACGCACTGCAAACTCCCAGACACTGCAAACTCCCGCGAACTGCAAATTTCTCCACACTGCAAACTCGCGCACACTGCAAACTTCCGCGTACTGCAACCTTCCACGCACTGCAAACTCCCGAACACTGCCAACTCAAACACTGCAAACTCCCACGCACTGCAAACTCCTACGCAATGCAAGCTCCCGCGCACTGCAACCTCCCATGCACTGCGAACTCCCACGTACTGCAAACTTCTAAACACTTCAAACTCCCACACACTGTAAACTCCCACACACTGTAAACTCCCACACACTGCAAACTCCCGCAGACTGCAAACTCCCCTGCACGGCAAACTCCCACTCACTGCAACCTCCCACGCACTGCAAACTCCCACGCACTGCAAACTCCCACGCACTGCAAACTTCCGCACACTGCAAACTTCAACACTGCAAACTCCCACGCACTGCAAACTCCCACGCACTGCAAACTTCCGCACACTGCAAACTTCAACACTGCAAACTCCCACGCACTGCAAACTCCCACACACTGCAAACTCCCACGCACTGCAAACTCCCACGCACTGCAAACTCCCACGCACTGCAATCTCCCACACACTGCAAACTCCCGAACACTGCCAACTCAAACACTGCAAACTCCCATGCACTGCAAACTCCCACACTCTGTAAACTACCGAACACTGCAAACTCAAACACTGTAAACTCCCACACTCTGTAAACTCCCACACACTTCAAACTCCCACACTCTGTAAACTCCCACACACTGCAAACTTCGCCACACTGCAAACTCCCCTGCACGGCAAACTCCCACGCACTGCATCCTCCCAGACACTGCAAACTCCCACGCACTGCAAACTCCTACGCACACTGCAAACTTCTCCACACTTCAAACTCCCACGCACAGCAACCTCCCAGACACTGCAAACTCCCACACACTGCAAACTTCCGCACACTGCAAAATACAACACTGCAAACTCCCACGCACTGCAAACTCCCAGGCACTGCAAACTCCCAAGCACTCCAAACTCCCACGCACTGCAAACTCCCACACACTGCAAACTCCCACACACTGCAAACTCCCACACACTGCAAACTCCCACACACTGCAAACTCCCACACACTGCAAACTCCCACACACTGCAAACTCCCACGCACTGCAAACTCCCACACACTGCAAACTCCCACACACTGCAAACTCCCACACACTGCAAACTCCCACGCACTGCAAACTTCCGCACACTGCAAACTCCCACGCACTGCAAACTCCCACGTACTGCAAACTCCCACACACTGCAAACTCCCACGCACTGCAAACTCCCACACACTGCAAACTCCCACGCACTGCAAACTCCCACACACTGCAAACTCCCACGCACTGCATACTCCCACACACTACAAACTCCCACACACTGCAAACTCCCACACACTACAAACTCCCACGCACTGCAAACTCCCACACACTGCAAACTCCCACGCACTGCATACTCCCACACACTACAAACTCCCACACACTGCAAACTCCCACACACTACAAACTCCCACGCACTGAAAACTCCCACACACTGCAAACTCCCACGCACTGCAAACTCGCACACACAGTGCACGCGCGCGGGTTGTAATTAATTGCTGCTGCCTCGGCTACTACACATTTTTAAATTGAACTGAAACGTGAGTTATTCCGTTGAAAAGGAAGATTTCTCCCAATACACCTCTTCTTTGTCGCGCACGACACTTCGTGTGTGTAAGTTGTCGGGGGGGGGGGGGGGGGGGAGTGGTGAGCGTCACCGCTCCCCCCGCCGCCGCACTGCGCTACGAACCCAACGCCCCTCGCTGTTCACCATCATCAGTCTGTCCTCTGATTAGTCTCCATCATCCGAACTTCCGATTAGCGTGGTTGGCTATGTACGGTGCGAAGGAAATACAACGTATATGCATCATCACGACCTTCCTCTCTTCACAGTCTCGCGGTTTGCCTGCCCGCGTCGTGAAGGATAGAGGAATATGAGGAGGAGGAGGAGGAGGAATAGGAGGAAGAGGGGGGAGGGCGGTGAGAGCCTCTCCGCCTCTGTAAGTCACGCTCACTGTCGCTCTCACCGCAACCACTCTGACACCTAAAATACCCCGCGCATCGATTCCCTCTGTAAAGAGCAAATAAAAACTTTAACTCGCTATCGAATCTATGCGCTTGGGATGCCCCGTGTCGACGCGCGACCATAAACCACGGCCAAGTGTAGGGGGGGGGAGGAACCTCGCGCAGATTCTCGCCGCGCGGAGATCAGCGCCGGGTTCTGCCGAGGCGCTGTGTGACCCGTGCAGATTGAGGCCGTAAATTCTGGGTCTCAGCCAAAGCCGCCTCCTCCTCCACCTCTTCCTCCGCCCGGGACCCTGCAGTGCAGTGCCTGGGTTTGAAATCCAGAGCTCGACGGTTCGATGTGATGTCCTGGCCAGGCAGCTGAAGCAATGGGTGCAAGTTCTCGCTTCTCTGGCTCTGTCAACCCAGCGGCACGGACGGATTCGCCACGCTTCGTCGGTGGGGATGGCGCGTGCGGTGGGGTAAAGCATGGGTACTCGCTCTTCTTCTAAGACGTCCCGGCAGAGTGGGCTAGGAGGCCAACACGTGATTTGACTTTTCATTGCATTCAATGGAAACATCATTGGTTGCGACGGCTCAATCCACAAGCACGGGGTGAGACTCTCCACCACTCCTCAGGTGGAGGTCCTTCTGCCAGCGGTGCAATTTCAGGACTGCGCCTTTACCTATGAGCCCCTCGCCCGACCACGCCGCACGTCTCCTCCTCCTCTTCCCCCTCCTCCAGCCTGCCTCCTCATCCATCCTCCATGCTGCCTCCTTCCTCCTCCTACTCATCACCTCGGTCTCTCCACTGCGCACTGCGTGCGGCGAAATGCGAAATGCGAAATGCGCTCTCCTGAAAGCTCCATTTCCTCATCCTGTGAGCGCCAAGGTCTCGCAGCAACAGCGCTGCCGCTGCCGCTGCCGCTCCCGCCGCGCGATGAAGCGTCGAGAGTGCTCCTCGCGCCCCCTTCACTGCTCGCCCCCCTCACTCCTCACGCCGCCGCCGCCTTTCGATTTCTTGCCAAGCCCGGGAGGGGAGCCACGCGCCGGCGCAAGGTCAGCCCCGCCGTGCGGTATCGATGGCCGCGAAGATTCCTGCTCTTTATAAATCAGGCCGTGTGTGTATTTTACGCGACGCCTCTCAAGGGGAAGGGGGTAGTTCGGGGAGGCGGAGGGGGGGGTGAAGGGAGGGAAGGGGGAGAATGGGGGGGGGGGTGCTGGGGGACAATGTCACGTTGATGCCGAAAAGCGGGACCGAAGCAGGGTTGAAACCCGCTTGGTCCCAATAACGATACATACGCGGCGACGTTTCGGGCATGTGGTTCGTACTTGCCTGGGTGTACTAGGTGTTGTGAACCTGCCCTTCGAAGTGGCAGAACGGCGATGGATTACTCAATCCATCTGTGCAGAGTTTTGAGCGTTGCCATTCGTCGTGTGCGTGGTAAGTTTGTGTGTCGCGGTTTCCTCGCACACGGCACAACACTCATTCGTGCAATTGGCCAAACGTCACGGTGTGACAGGACCCTCTTGAAAACCAGTCTTGAGACTCGGGGAGGTTTTCCTTGGTAGTTTTACCACGCACCGGGTGCATGCTAAAACTACCATGGCACACACAATGATATCGCGGAGTTAATTGCGTAATCACGTGACTCGACACAGCCTCCACACGCACCGCGCACAACGACAGCCGCTGCCTTGCGACACGAGAGTGGCGGTGACGCGGCCACGGCGCCTGCACTCAGGAGCCACGTGCAGCCAGCCAGGTGCACCCTGGGGCCACGAGAACCCAGCCAGGTGCACCCTGGGGCAGGAGGTGGCGGGACAGGGCCCGCGATTCTCACGGGTTAACTGACACGCGTGTACACACCTGCAAGTGAGGTGCACACGAGTGCACACATGTAACGTGCATTCACACGAACTCTAAACGGACAATAATAACGAACCATCGTCGTGAGCCGTGGTGCATTCACTACTGGATGAACGCGAACTGATTGCATCGCTCCATCTCCTCGGTGGACGTTCTCTCCGAGGTCTTGTATTCCGTGGCTGCCACTTCGTTCACAGTCCGAGGCCCACTGGTCGAATGGGCCTCGTTATTGATTCACACTCTTGTCCAAGGGATGCACAATTGAATTAGACAGAACACAAAGACAAAGATCCCGCGTATACCATTACCATACTGTTGAGGCAAGTGCTGTTAGCGAGTGAAGGCCGCCTTGTCTCACCAGCGGCGATGTCTACACACAGCACCAGATACTCATTTGAGACTGAGTCGACCTAGGGGAGGCTCATGATAATCGTCACTGGTGTTGGCCATGAGCGGGAATCGAACCCGGGTGCGCCGAGTTCGTCGTGAAGCGCGCTAACTGCTCCACCACCGCTCCCCACACGACACAAACACACAATTACCACACGAGATCTCCTCTGTACACC